ATGTCGTTGGGAGTTGATGTAACATTGCAGTTGTTGCTTTGTGTTTTTACGTTGTTGTTGGCCAACAATCTGTCACATGGAGGGGACGATGTTCAGTTCATGAACAGGTTTGGTCATTTATATCTTGCTGGATGTTTTACTTTTTTTTTTAACAAGATTTGCTTGATCCTGCAATTCATGTTACAATTTTTACCACCTTTGTTTGAAACATTGTAAGATTTTTTATATTAATTTTATGATTTTTATTGGGCATAACAAACAAAACCTAAATTTTTGTTAGTCTCTATACGTACTAATTCATGATTTTTGCATCTCAACAAATTGTCGCACAACACTCACTCGAATACTCAGTCGGTCAAATTCTGTGGTTGCAGGTGGGATGGACCGGCGCCAAACCCACCCCACCACCACACCAGCGACGTTTTGCACATTTTCGCTCGGCATAATTTTTCCAGTTATTTCTTTTTTTTTACTTTTTGACAACCCACTCCAACTGCAACGCTGATAAAATTGCACGATTGGAAAGTTGCAATGTGTAATTTAGTTCATTATTTTATGTTACGCACATACATAGAGATAATTTTATATAATGAAGCCTTTAAAAAATAAGCCTATTCAATGAACAAACAACTAATCTGCAGACCAACCAAGCAAGCTCTACTTTTTGTTAAGAATGTCAATGACTCATTTCAATTTTTAAATTATTTTATTAAAGATTGAAGAACTAAACGCGTTTGTAGAGTGTCGAAAAATAAAAAAAAAACTAACTAGAAAAATATACGAACGATAATAAGAGCAAGTTGCAAAAAACAATTGAAACTCGGAAGTCTTTAACCATTTTCATTTAATAAAAAACAGTTATAAATTAACGATGAAATCAAATTATAAAATTAAAAAAAAAATCTAAAATCAACAAATGACTTTATAACTTCTTGTAATTTGTTAAGAAAAAAGAAGTTTCGAAATGTTTATTGAAGGATAATTAAATAATAAATGTGTGTTAGGGTTTTAGAATGAGATATATAAAAATATGGAAATTTTCTTGAGAATGTTTTAGGAGGGTTTTCAAGTAATGTTGGATGATCTCGCCGAAGCTTGACAAATTGCACTTATCAATTATCAAACAGGAATAAGATAGGTTGTTGTTAGTTGCCACTTGGAAAATTAGCAGTGTAGTTTTTGTTGTTTGAAATTGAGAAGATGACTAGTTCCATCAAATTTTTCAACCTCAGCAAAGTTCTGATATGTTTTATTTGCGTTTTTTTAAATTTTTCATGAGAAGAAAGACTTGCTCCAGATTTTAAAGCTGGGAGGATGAAACAAATGAGGTAGACAAATGAAACTGTCATATTTTTTGAGTAATTTTATTTTTTGCAAAAACTTCTTTTTATAATTTTTGCATTGGATATAAAATGTCCACAAGTTTTTTGATTTTGACAACTCTAAAAGAATTGATGTAGAAACTTGTTTTGCAACATGCAAACATATAGATTGAAAATTTACCAAATTTCTTACAAAAGTTCTCAACTTGTTGTTTAGTTAAAGTTACGCTAAATATAATTTATAAAAAAAATTGCATACCAATAATTTTTGGCTATTGTTGTTCAATGATGTCATATTTTGTGAGTAATTAAATCACCAGGTTCAATTTTGAAGAAAAAATCTGTTGGTTATTAGTTCATAAATAAATAACTCATTAGAACATAAAAATATTTCTAAATGAACCAAAGCAACAGAAACATTTGTCATAAAATTATCAAACCCTGATTAGATATTAGATAAATGAACTTTCAAACAAACACAAAAAAAACTTCTTCATAGATCTTCTTCGATAATAAACGATGAGCGGGGAGCGGGTCAACATATGCTCGAAAAGAAACAAATCTTTCAAGTGGCTCTGGTCCTGTGCCAGCCGCATCAACATCTGCAGTTCGTGCTGATGTTTGCTGCACGTCCCGTGCACGTGTCCAACATGCATTTATAAATATGTATATATATTTATATACACTGTCCTGTACATGTATATAGCATGTGTAATAACCTAGTGCACAAACACACTTTTGTTGTTGTTTTTGTTACAGTAACAACATATTATGGAGATTTCAACTTAAATTATTCTTTAAACCCATGAAACATTTGATAAAACATTCATATATCAAGTATCATAAAATTTTTTTTACACAAACACAAACAAACACAACACACACACATATGTATACACATATATTAATACATACACCAGAGATGAAATGTTGTGAACATTTTTGGAACAATAGAAAACAAACTTTTGAAAATCATTCTACTGCAGCCTAGATAAAATTTCTCAACCGACAACTATTAATTTTTTCCATTATTTGTAATTAATTATTTATAAAAAATAATTCTTTCAATACATTTTTGCATTCAGTAGTTTTTCAATGAAAAAACAAAGTAAGCGAGTTTAATGTGCCTACTCTTCAACCTTCTTTTGTTTCTTTTATGATCGGCTCAAATGTTCAGGCAGCACACATTTGTAAAACTTTCTATACAAATTGCATGTGCATGTATTGTTCTTGAGATTGAAGAATTTGAAATAACTTTAAATGTGTTGGATTGGATGGAAGAAACGAAATGCTGATGTTTACTTGCAAGCAGCGCATCTTCTAATGAAACAAATCATTCAATGGCATTGAAATGAATAGGGTATCAATAAAAACAAAATAAAATAGGAACCTCGCTTGTGAAGATGAAAAACAACTTGATGGCCACCACATTCAAGGGGAAAAAAAAGGTTCAAATGTTTTTGATTTAAATTTTCATGGTGCAAATGTTCATGATTCAAATTATCATGATGCAAATGTTCATGATTTAAATTGCTTGCAATTTAAATCATGAACATTGATTAAATTGATTTTAAAATGCTTGCAAAGCTGACAGACTGACGTGGTAGAAAAAGTTGACAGCTCCCCTCGTTCGGTTCCAATACAAGATATTTCCATTTATCAGCACCCGTGTCGCGTGTTAATTCACTTACGTCAGCAGAGGAAACCATCATACGAACGAGAAAAGTATAAAAAAAAACATTGTAGCAAGCACATGGCACACTCAATAAACACAACATAATTGTGTGCAGGACACAATAAATCATTGGTTGCAGAGCCGCAGATCACCTAACACTTCAATGTGTAACGGAACTAATTGACTCATAACATGGTACATGCTGTCTCAAAATAGAGTTATAGATATGCTTAAAAACCGTTTTAGCATACAAATACAAATTTCAAATAAACATTTTTCTCAAAAAACTTTAACATGGCTATTCTTTTTTCCATTGGTACAACGAATGCCTTCATTCCACTTCCTGATACAAAATTTTTCATAGCAGCAGAGCAGTGCAACAAATGCGATAATCCCAGTATGACTCATTATATATTAATAATTTCATTTCATGTACTGCTTTTAGCTTGCTGTTTGTTATAATGTATTATATGACATTCATTTAATGAATTTAAAAGTTACTATACGCACAGGCATGCCAAAGAGACATAAGATTGAAAAGGAAAAGTTAGAGGTCTTTTTTATTTTGATTGTAGGTTTTGATTTTAAAATTAGTTGGTTCTATTAATAGTTAGATTTGTGTATTTGATTGGGCTGTAAGAAGGAGAGGATTTTTTTGTACATTGTTGAGCGCAACGATGATGCAATTATTTAGGGATTCATTCAAATTAATTGCTAGTCTCATGTCTGACTCGTAGACCAAATGCGACTACTCGACTGTGACTCTCAGTCATATTCTGCACTCAAAAACTAGCGATTAAAGATTTGCAAAATTTAATTTAATCGAATTCATCTTCACATTGCCATAGTTAACAAATTACTGAAGCTTTGTGTTATCATAAATAAAACATGATATATGTATGCACAATACATCTTATGATACAACCAAAGTGACCGATAAATGTACAACATGCAGCGAATACAAATAGCTACCAAAAACATGAACACCATCCATCTGACTGACGTACCGTACATGAACGCATTACGTAACAAAATTAACAAACATCTTTTGCTGGCTCAACAACACGTAGCTTCCACAAAATACTACCTCTTTTTTAAATTTATGCCTTATGTCAAAAATTTTGTAATTTTTTGTTATTTAGTTTTGTAGTTTGCAGTTACTCAGCGAACACACGATAGCCTGCAAGCATTTTGCATGCTCTAACGACCGCCTTCCCCTGATTGATTACAGGCTGACAACGTTCAACATCTTCGCAAACAATCTCTACAGATTTAAGACAGATGCAACATTTTGGTGATTGTTGTTTGGAAACTATTTAAAGCAAAATGATTCCAAAATTAGTGTCGTCATGAATAATGTTATAAAACTACACAATGAATAACAACATGAAATGAACAAAGACATTATCCACATTCACCAACTTCATCAACTTCCACATAGTTAAAATCATCAGTAACTTTATCGACGTTATTAACAATTAGATCACTTTTAAAATGTTGTGTAATGACATGCAAATATACAAACACACAAACAGACAGGCACACTCATACACTTATGATTGAACATTTTTATACCCGGTTCACATTTCTATGAAGGACAAAATGTGGTTCGCGTACCTTAACAAACAGTTGGCATTTCGTAGCAATCAAACTTTGGGCTAGCACAATGTTCCTCACACATACAGTTACACACCAATCATATTTCGCATATCTTTCCACTCTCAGCTCCACATAAACACGCTTTTTCTTATATATCTGTGTGTATGTGTTTGTTTGTGTGTATATGTGTTTGTGTGTGTGTGTTTGTGTCTATGTCTTTGTGTCTATATGTGTTTGTTTGCTTGTTTGTGTACAATCTCCTGTTCGGTATGAATTTTTGTTGAGCTTGAAAAAAAGTCATGCAATTTGTTCATCAAAGTGATTTACGGCAGAAACTTAGTTGTTGAGGCTGATTAATTGAGGAGGATATTCTCATTTTTATTTTTCTACATATCTCCCTCCTTTTATTTCATACATTTGTTTGGTATATTTCTATACAATTCTATTGTTAGAATGGATTTTATTAAAATGTATGTTTTTGATTTTGTGGGAGTTTACAAGAATTTGTTTTTTACTTTGTAACGAACATTCGAGCAAAATGTGAGTGCGTGTAGGTGCTTCTATTAATTGGATGTATCCACTCAAGTTTTAAAGGTGGTCGTGTTGGAAGCATTTGAATGTGGAAAGGATTCCACGCGAATTGATCACTTGCAGAATGGGTTTGCTAACAATTAGCTTCATTTGAAGAAGTTCATTTAGAAAATGAACGTGCAACAACAACTTCAACAACAACTTCAACATTTGTAAACTTGTTGAGAGTTTCCTGCATATTGTTTCTAAACTCACCAAATAAACATTTAAGTTTGTACGTGCTGTCTAGATCTCTGCAGAGGCGTCATTTGGGGGGAGGCAGGGGGGGGGGGGCCATTGGCCCCCCCCCAAGAAATCAAAATTCTAAATTGCAAACACTATAAAATAATTATATAAAATTATATAATTTATTATAATTATATATACAAGATATTGTGCTTTTTGAGTTTTTAAATGTCAAGCGCTATACAATTTATTTCATTTGTTCCTACAATAACTCATGTTCTGTTTTAAAAAAAGCCGTTGTGTTGTCGCCATATTAACTGTCGCGTTCGCTGTTATTAATGTTATTTTGATTTAGCTGGAAGTCCATTTATCTCATTTTTTAAGATAAAGAGTGAAGGTGAGTTAGAATACAAATTGTTTCAGTTTCGTTAATAAATTTGATCAAACTACTAATCAATAATAAATGATTAAATTAAATTAATTATCAATGATATAAAAAATATTTTAAATCATCAAGTTGGTAAGTCAAATAACAATAACTATTTTTTCTGGATATTGTAATAAATTTTATAAAAAGTTTAGATTATATTGTAGAAAGATGTCAGCTGGAAATGAATTACAAAAAGAAAAAAATTAAACTTATAAATTATAAAAGTGTTAATTTTAAATTCTTTGTAAAAAGGATATATATAGGATATATAATTTAGTAATTTTAAAACTTTAAAAATGTAAAATTTATTATAATGTTGCACTGACGAGACTACGTAGTCGAAATAGTACTATATGCATACAAGTAGATAATGACATCTTCTGTAAATAGAAATTTTGTTAATAGCATTAACAAGTTAAGCTTGGTAGATTGGAAAATTATTCGAAGAATCGAGAAACTATCAGTACTGTAAGAAACACCGTGATCTTTATTAATTATATATATATATATATATATATATATATATATATATGAATATATATATGAATATATATATATATATATATATATATATATATGTGTGTGTGTGTTACATGCTAAGTTATAGACCACATAAGTTCGCCCCCCCCCACCAAAATCTGAAATGACGCCCCTGAATCTCTGATCTAGATGGGGTCTGAAGTTTTAAAATGTTTACATCTTGACCGAGGTGAAGGAATTTCGAAAAAATTCACTGGAACCAAAATTTGACGTAATCGCGATAGAAGAGCTACACTTTCTTAGCTAATTCATATTGCAGCTCCTTTGGTACGTCCAACGCTGTCTATCAGCGGCTCTGTGGTCATCATTAAGCAATGAGATGAGATTGGCGACTGGTTCGTGATCTTTTTCTTCAAGTCCATGACTGTTTTTGTAATGGTTGAAAAATGCTGTATAATTTTTTTATTCGATCGAGGTATAAGTTATATTCTTCCAAATTAGCATCTAATCCATTCTTTTTACATTACATTTCATAACTTTTGTTCTGGTGCGGTCGTTTCAAGAGGTAATTTTTTTAAATTATTCAATTTCAATTATGGTATATTTGAAGTTTTACAAACTGGGACTATTTTATATTTTACATACACATTCAACAAAGGGCTCGCAAAGTTCATTATTCATTACTTTTTTACTTCTCTCATACACTAACGAAGATGCTGAATTAATAAAGGAGTCCATATCTATCAAAATTGACGATAGATCATCACTTTTGGACTATTTTATTGTTAAGTTGATCATCAAATATATGTATGTATGTGTGTGTGTGCAACCTCAACAAAATTTTTTTCGGCCCTTCACTTCATAAACTAAGCTAAAAAAAAGACCGCGCTTAATACGCAATGGTTTAGTGCAAGCATAAACAATAAAATAACTGCGAAACATTAAGCCTAACCTGTAAACAACTTCATCTCAATGAAGAACAAATAAAAACGTAAACAAAATATGGACTACAATTACAAACAACGACATCAACGACAATGAACCACACAAACGAACTTGCATAACATTAAACGTATTTAATTATAAAAACATCATAACGAACAAACCTCAACACATTCTTGTATAAAAATCCACTTAAACAAACAAACATCAAATAATGAGCAAATACACATCCCCCCAATAAAGTGGCATCGAATAATATTCGCACATGAAGCGGCAACGAGTCGCTGGCCACCAAGATCGTGTTGTGGCTCTGCGAGCGACTGCTGATGTAGATGTTCAATTATAAAGGAACATTCTTTACGGCTCTCAACCTGCATTGCTTCAGGGGCAGGCTCATCGTTATGCTTCAAAAGCTTTCCTCCAAGATGTTATAAATTCCTTTCAACGTCTATTTACTTTTGGTTGTTTTATTTTTTGGAGTTGTATCAAAACATAACAAGACTTTATTGAGTTTCTTCTTAGAAATACAAAATATAAAATCAAAAAGCTTTAGCTACAGCTTTTTGTTGGCAATATTTGTATGCTCTGATCATGTAGGTACGTGTGTTCAGGATGACGGATGTGTGTTCAAACCATCAGACAATCGTAAATCACTATCTCATTTGGCCTCGCTGCTCACTTACGATTTTCCTTAATACAAGTGTTTATGAGGATGAGTATGACTATATATCACATCTTGTGCAATGTTGCTTTGGATTTCAAACACACAAACTTATGGACATTATTTTAGTTCCATTGGACACGTCTGCGAGTCGTGAACAGACACACATACATATCTGCATGCATCGTCTTTTTGAAATACATTAATGACATTTTACATAAAACAATTTATTAATTTAATCATACCTCTTATTTTTATGCAAAATATATTTATTTTCTACAGAATTAATGTTTTTTTAAATAATAAAATTTAAATTTCTAATTTATAGTTCACATGAATCAGTTTATTCCTACAGAATTAATGTTTTTTTAAATAATAAAATTTAAATTTCTAATTTATAGTTCACATGAATCAGTTTATTCCTTTTTAGAAGCAGGCATAAGACATTGCAGTATCATGTCCCACTCATATTTGTTGCTAATCCAAGCTGTGATTACAGTCGTTTGTGAACTGGAATGTGTGGCGTGAACGAACGTTGACAAGTTAGCCAACATTTCGCTGCTTCATATCGCCCGTCGGAATAATTACCTTTGCTGTTCGGTTCCGACAGAGTCAAATGTGCAATTTAGTGCGGCCGTTTTTAAGTGGTATATTTTTTGCTTTCGGATCTTTATAAATATCTTATTTGAATATATTGGAGATAACTGTGATAAAATTAATTTTAATAATTACTTGCGACTTTTGTGAGAAACGTTGTAAAAAGATGAGCAGTCATTTTTTTTGGGGTTTTCAGGAAAGTTTAGTGACGGACTAGCATATTCTGTATTTATGAGTCAAACAGGGTAGCTGGTATAAAAAATGTAACAAGCCAGAAATGATTGTTCGATGTCTGATCTCGTTGTTTGTTATTGGGAACAAAATTATTATTTTATGGCTGTCAGCTCGATTGGCAAATTTAAATGAGAATAATTGAAATTAAATTAATTGATCGCTCGCTAGAATCATAACTATGATTGAAAAAATTTAGATGATAATTTCTTCGATGTTGATTGAGTTCAGAACATAAAAATTCACACCGATACTTTGGATAATGATTTGCCACATCACTCAACACAGCTCCATATTAGATTATTTTGAGCTCTGCTTGCATAACATCCATCATCTTCTGAGACAGTTACGTGTGATGTGTTCAAAAAGTCATTAAACAAGGAAGAACTGAAATTATTTGTGGGTAGGTAACAAATCGTCAAGTAGTCTGGATGATAATTTTAGCACTTTGTTTTAAACATGTTAATGTTTCAATCATATGAATCATCAAATCGAAAGAAACACACACAACACACACACACCTAGAGTGAAACAAACACACGCATCACACATACACGCACAGACATTTATATGTGTTTACCGTATTGAAATAAAATATCAGAGAACTAACGTGAGTGACACGAGTCAAAAACGGCAGACGACCTTCCTTGTTTAATTAATATTAATGAACTTTACTATACCAAAAAAAATTCTGGAAATTAATCCTCCTGCAAACTCTCTGCCTTTGTAGGTAAAATTTTGTTTCAAAACTTCCATTCACCAGTATGGTATTTTAATAGGCATTTAATTATTTTATTTAATATATATGTATTATATTCTCTATATATATTTATACATATATAATATTTAAAAATGCAATCAAGCATTTTGCACGTAACATCGATTGAACGTTCCTAACATCAACTAAACGACCTTTGTCGATATTAACTGCTCCTTATTATACACTTATATATTTTAAAAATATTTATTCAACAAAATAATTAACTTATTCTTCAGTTTCAGTTGTTCGGAACCATTTTAGGCATTAAACACAAAAACTGTTGAGTCTAAATTGGAAGAAACACTCCATTAGAGGTAAAATGTGATTGAAGTTCAGGAAACTATAAATATCAATTTAGATAAAATCCTAATGCAAAAGAATAGGAGGAACAAAAAGTTTAAATGAAGACAAATTGTAACAAATGGCAGGACGGTCTCTTAAAGAAATGCTTACTCAAGGAAGGAAAAAATTCCCAATTTATTTGAAAAAATTAATTAAAATGCAATAGAGTTTCAGTAGTCTTTGATTTTGTGGGACGTGCTTTTAAAATAAATTTTGTTTAATGTTGGTATTTATAAATTTTTTCTAAAAATGTTCAGGCTTTGTTTATTTTTTCATACTTCTTCATAAATTTGTAATGGTGCAGTGTATTAGGAAGGGGTTCATGACGCCAATTAGTAGATGCTGTTGTTAAACAAATGATGCGCCCTACAGAATTCCGCATATCAAAAACTTTGTATATTTATCTGCCAGTTGAATCAAGTGATGAATGCCAAAAAAGTTTAACCAGACGAAAATTTGAAAAAAATTTTATTATGATTTTTAACAAATGAATTATTAAAATATATTGATACTACCATTAGAAGTTCATCAACGAGATTAATTTACGTTGCGGTCCGAAGGCCTTTAGTGTTTCTGCGCGGTTCATCAATTTGATGGTTTCAGATTTTTTTTTTCAAAACGAGTTGGTTCTTGTTAATTTACTATTTTCTTTGACGTCATCATAGGCTGGAAACATCAAATTGCTCCATGGTACATAAAAAATTGTCAGCGAATGAAAGTTTGGGGACACAAAATATGTGTCCTTCCTGAAAGGTTTCCACGACATTACGTTCGCCATTTCAACATTCACTGAAAACTTAATTTGGCTGACGTACTCTCGTCTGGCAACTCGATGCATCTCAATCTGCAACGACAAACGTCAAACACGTCACATCACGTGATGGTCTGCTGTGTGACGTCACGTAATTCGCGTTTTTTTAATTTGTTACTCGTCACTTATCAGAACTCCACAAGGTGTAAACCTCATTTGCTGTAATTCACCGACACTCACTTCTCACACACTCTCCTCCTCTCCATCATTATCATCTTTTGCAGTTTAACTTCGATGGGTGACGGACACCTTAACGTTTACATGTAGGAAAGTATTTGAACCTTGAAATTTACAGCATATGCAAAAATTTTGTGTTGACGATACAACAAATGTTAAACATTAATAGCTCTTTAACAACATTTTAACAAACGAATTTTTATTAAAAATTTTTGCAGTCTGGAATTGGTTGGGGGAGGGTCCTCAACACTGACGACCTCTTTGAATATCGTCAACTTCTTGCTTAACGTTCAATCAATTATTTGCCTAATTTTTTTATTATTAAATACTGGTTTTTTGTACTAAAATTTACAAAACGCTAGTGTTGTCAGGGAGGTGAAAATTGTAATTTTCATCAATTTATAGAAAAATTTCTTCAAGTTATAATTAACCCTATCTACATTTGTCATTGTGGAATTGGCTTTGGTCCAAAATTTCCCATTGGTTATGCATTTGCTCCTAGTTCAATAATTTGCACAACTTTTTTTCATTAAACTGAGGGATCATGCATAACGTCATAATCATAACATGGGCGATGTTGTTGGATGTTTATGCAGATGATATTATATTATATCCGTCTTGACATGTAGTGTTCAACAAATATATTTCCAGAATAGTAATAAAAAAAATTAAATTTTGTAAAAAAAATAATTAAAAAAAATACAGTTTGTTAATAAAGTCAGCAAAATTTTTGATGATTGATTTCAAAACTAACAATATTAAATTGAATCCCCCAGAGTGCAGATGACAGCAGAGAAGATAGGACAGGAGTTGGTGAGGATCGGCAGAGAAGTGACTGCGATTGAAGATATCAGAATGGTTAGTTCTTATGTTATCATGTAAGCTGTGGTGTTGATTGTTGTTAGCGTTTGCTTGAAATATTTTGTCATTCTATCTATATTGTTGTTGTTGTTGTTTATGCTGTGTTGTTTTTAAAAATGTTCGCCAAACTTTGTTCAGTTGCTTATGAAATTTAGCTACGATACGATTCGATATATTTCAACTGCTTTTAAAACAAAATGAAATAGAAGACATGATGGTTTTAATCAAGTTATAAAGTATCAAATATTATAATTAAGCATAATCACTTTACAAACAGTTCTAAAATAAAATGATAGTTGAACCAAAATTCTATAAAAATAGTGTTGTTTTCAATGTTTATAAACACCATTATTTCACCACTAACAACAATCACAAACAGTAAATTATTTAAAATCTTGAAATTAACAAACACAAATTATACCTACGTTAACATTCGACTGAAAAAATACAAAGAACTTGAAGAACGATGGATTCCCAGAGTTTTAGCGAGAAAGAATATTGGAGGATTTTTTCCTGCTTTTTTAGACTAAGACATTTTTCGTATTTTTCTGCCCATTAGAAGGTTGAAAGACAAAAGAGCAAAAGTAGCTTCTGCTATATTTTATGTCAAAACTCTCTGAAGACAAATTTTTAGCAGTATTACATTGTTTGTTTTGGACCACCAAAGAACTTGCAATTCATCATTTGTGAAATAGCTTATGTAAAATAAAAATTAAATAAACAAAATTCGTTGACGGAAATATTACAAAGGTAAAACAAATTAAATATTGAAGGAATTGAACATTGCTAAACAAACTTTTATTGAATTAACCTAGCATAAAACATTTGAAGCGGTTTTATGGAAATGATGAAAAATGTTTTTGTTCCAAAATTTTCCAGGTCTCCATTATTTATTAACTTTTAAAATATTCGTCGTCACAATAAGTCTATTCATCATTATTTCATCTATTTACTAACTTATTTATGTCTTCACAGTTATATTTTCACCTTTTATGTCACATTCCTGTTATTTTTATTAATTTTTGTTCACTTTTAAGAATTTGCCATTAATTTCTCCTCAGAGCCATCACGTTTCTAACGAACAAATAAATAAATTCCACATAGTTTTTAACATCTGCATTGCAAATTTACAGAGGAAATAAAAGCTGGAAAAAAGTTTCAACGACGTTTTTATTCGAGGCACCAACAAAAACATCAACTGAACGTCAGGGAAACTAACTGCAGTTTAAAAATTCGCCATACATTTTTTACGTAACTCTGCTATAACTATGCTTTCAAGCAGCAGGATGGCTCAATGGTTAAAGGCGCATGGTCCTGCTGTTGCAGGGAATGCTTTCGATTGCAAAGAGATCTTCGCCTTTCACATGCAATGTGTCTGATGCCAGGTTTTCACGCGTGTTCCTATACGCTGTGTGTGTTATGTTTGTTGTTCATAGCTCTGAAGCTGACGCACAAGAGAGATTGACCTTTAACCTTCAATCATGTGCTCTCTCATTAACAGCAATAATTACTCTTAAATGAAAAACAATAAAAAGTGTAAGCGAAATAGTTTTGAAAACAATTTTTGTAGATATGTGACCAAAATGAAAAAATGTGACTAAATTTATAAATACATATCAATATTTGTTCCTCCATAAATTAGGGAAAAAAAATTAAACCAAAAAATAATTAAAATAAATTGAATTAAATCCAACGGCAAACTAAAATAAATAATTTTTTTCAAATATTTTAAGACAAAACAGAACTAATTAAATTCCGTATTAAGTAAATATTTGAAATGATTTTTCTTGTGAAAATTGTGATGAATTAGCTCTTAGAAAATGTCTAAAATTGGATGAAAATAAATCAAAGTAAAGTAAATTTGAAAAAAAAAGGAAAACTAAATTCCCATGTATATAAAAAATGTGACAAATTTAGTAAAATTGTAACCGTATCATGTTATATATATATATATGTGTGTGTGTGTGTGTGCGTGTTATGTGTGTGTGTGTGTGCGTGTTATATGTGTGTGTGTGCGTGTGCGTCCCCTGCTTCTGATTTAAAAAGAACTCTTCGTTATACGAGAGCTCTGCGTTGTAATTTTATTGGAATTAATCATTTTTTATTACACAAGCGGCACACGCGTCCTTATGTGACGTCACCGAGTTTTTCTTTCTCCGATTTTTTTTCCTTTTTCGTCACGCCACCTCATTAAATTATATAAAATAAAATTTTTGTAAAATTCAGCAAATTTCTAATTTCATAGTTCTCCCAATTTTTTCTGAGGAACCAATTATTTTTTATTTGGGAAATAAATAAATTATTAACATAATAGTTTTTTGAAGTTATAAAGGCTTTTAAGTGACGCCATTGAATTTTAATATATTTTATTTTGTTTGAAATATTTTAAAAAATTTTCAAAGCGAAGAGAGTTAATTCGTTTTATTTCGAGTTATTTTTTAGGAATGAAATTAGACCAGATATAAATAATTTGAAAATGAAAAAATACCACATCCAATCTAATATTCCTGATGGTTTAGACAGGTATGATGAAAATAAATGTAAAATAATGTGACGTTTATTGAGTTAATAAAAATCAATTATAAAATTATAATGCATAATTTTTATTAAAAAAAGCTGAAACTAGTTGAGGCAGCTTTCGTTCAAAGAGAGAATAACAAACTGAAAAAAACACAAGAAGCATGGTTGCATGCATTCAACATGGACACGTATATCCGTTTAGAGGTTATGCGTGCTCCAGAAAGATGGAAAGCATTCCAGTGTACCTCTGCTCTGCACCTGCTCATGTGCATCTAACTATCCGACCTACAACCCCACATGTGAATATGTGAATACACGTTCGTATGCAGGCATGCATTCGTACACTCTAATACATAAAAACACAGATAAATAAGAACCGGCATATAAACACATAATTTAAATAAAGATTTCAAACATGAAATAAACATGAACACAATAGACAATGCAAACGGCTGTATGATAACAATAAAAAAAATGAAGAGTTTTTAGATTGGAATGTTAGAAACAATTATTCCGAGGTAGAGTGTTGACACGTAATAGAAAAATAATGAAGGATAAGAGGCAATCCTAAAAAGTATCAATAAATGGTTATTGCCTATCGAGATATTTGAGATGTCTAGGAATGTCAGTTTCATTTTGAAAAGTTGGCTGAAGGATGATTTGATGCTTAAGTTTTGTGGACGGAGATTGTGTATGGCAGGTTTAATTCGTGCTATGATAGGAATTAAAATACAAAAAAAAGTTTTGGCTGTTTTGGAATGATACACGTCTCATACAACAGTCTTCAGACAGACCCCACGGCACAGACACGCACACACACACACACATACATACACACACACACGTGTGTTTGCGCAGCAAAGACTGGTTAATCAAACGACATCTGGGCATATTCAAAATGGCCTAATTAAAAGTCACACTTGAATGAGATTGTATATATAATTTATAAGACAATTATAATGTTCCTTAAAATATTTTTAGATGATAATGAGGATGAAATATGACAAAATAGTGGTTTGAGTTTGAACACTACGTAATCGTTGTCAATTGGTGGACATCCAATAATAGATGCCAACAGCAAATGTCACTTGTATTCTACCAATGCAACCAATGTTTAAAGTCAAAGGAGTTAATTTTTTTTTAATTTTGGAACGAGAGTTTACATTGATTTTATTTGAATTAAAAAGTATATTCTGAAATAACAGTCAAAAATCCCAAATTTTTTCTATCATATAATAACTAAAAAATGGTGGAAAGTGGCCCGATTGAATGATCTCAACAGGTGTGAACCTTTATGCAGGATATCCCGTATATCTTAATTAATGGATAAAATGAATGCCAGTGATTGATGTGGGAAGTGGCCAGCTGCTGTCCCTTCCATAACATGATCGGATGCCTAATAGGGCGATGTCATTGTGAAGACGCGCGACGATGATAGATTTTATATTTAAATTTATATAAATATATATTTTTATAAATTTACATGGATATAAACAATAATTGTTTGTATTTGTATTCTTATCTTTATAAGATAATTAGATGATACAATTACATTTTAATATTTTGAACCAGGTTATGATCCAATAAACATAATTAAAGAAATCTGGTTTGTTCCTAGACGAATGTAATTATAATTATATCGCGCGACGATGATAGATTTAATATTTAAATTTATATAAATATTTATTTTTATAAATTTACATGGATATAAACAATAATTGTTTGTATTTGTATTCTTATCTTTATAAGATAATTAGATGATACAATTACATTTTAATATTTTGAACCAGGTTATGATCCAATAAACGTAATTAAAGAAATCTGGTTTGTTCCTAGACGAATGTAATTATAATATAAACGTTAATTGCCAAAAGATGGATCCGTTTATAAAATTTTGAGCAATAAAATCTAAAAAACTGAGCCAATAAAAGACGGCAAACAACACTTTCCGAAATAAAGAAAACACATGCAATGGCAATGGTACCCACACATATATAGATGCAGGCAATCAAGCATATAGGCATACTCAAGTAAGGACACACGCGCATTTGACACTCTACCATAATGTCCTGTACTTAAAAGAACCATTATGCAAAACCTTTCATGAATATTTGATACTATAAAAGGGCTACATGTAACTTTTTACGACTTCACAACTTTCCTGTCAACATTCTGAATGACACAAATCGAAACGTTTAAATGTTGCAACCGTATTAAAATGTTTTCATTCTGATCGTTTACTTGCAAGGATTTCAAATGTTCAAATATTAAACCTTTTTTTAGAAATTTTTTTCAACACAATTGTTACGCATTTTTTATTAAATCATGTTCATATCGTTCGGAATAACGACAAATTTTGAATAATAAAATAGTTTATTTGTTTCAAAATAGTTTATTTGATAGTACCCATTCGAATCTTGACATTGAATACTGAAACAACTTTGAAAACGTTTGTTAAGAATTGTTGACGTGAGAAGTTTTGAGAATTTTCACTGTTTAAAAAAATTTAAAAACGAGCTGATAAAATAAATGCAGCTTAATCAAATAACAGGAAAATAGTTTAAGTAGCATGAGATGGTGACATGGTGACATTTAATTTGAGGTATTACAGAGTATTGATATCACTAATATAAAGGCCATTAGTTTTTAAATTAATGAAGTTTTGGTTGGCCAAGATTAATTCAACGTTTAGAAATCTGAAAATCATGAAAACGTTATGATACTGATCTATCTTTTTAGAACCTCGAGTTGTTAAAAAATGTTCATTGTGGAAGAACGTATAGTTTAAAGTGTTCATGTAAATTTAACATGAATAAAATCCGACATGAATAAAGATGCAATTGTGTTTGAATTATTGAGTCAATGATTAATTAATCTGCCGTTGGACCTTAACATTGCCAAAAACTAAATTGACTTTGAAAAATATAGAAACTATAAAACAAAGGAAACGACTCCATGAGCAAACCAGCATTCACCTTCTTTCTTGCTAGCAATGTCCTTTCAAATGTATTAGAAAAATCATGTCATTATCTGTTGACGTTAACATTTCGTTATCCATCGAATACGTCCTACTGTTATGCGATGTGATCTGATACTAATTGGTTGGACACGAATGAACTACCAATATATACCAATATACTACCAATATATTTATTTATTTACTCGTATAAACTTTTAGATATAAAACATGGAAACAATTTCACGAACATTGAAAACTTCACTGGAGACCGAATGACATAAATGTTGATAGCTGCAGAGGATGTTCCCACCTATCCACTCCATTTAAATTAATTTGATTGCAAGTTCGAAACAGCAAACTTAAAAACAAAATAATTCATTTATTCTCAAATACATTGCGTCTCTTGACATTTTCTAAAAGTGAAACATGCCACCACATAGTAAAAAACTGTTGAAAAATTTGAAAATAAAACAATTTAAAAAAATCTTTAATTATGTTTACTTCAAAAAGTTTTTTCCTGTTGAATACTTCATCAGGTATGACGATGACCACTGTGGAGGATGTAAACTAGAGGTGTTTCTGATGATGGTGCCAACAAAAACGTTTTCAACAATAACACCCTCCAACTTTACTGTTACAACATCGATTAATTGTTGTCGTGTTTGTTTTGAGCACATTCAAAACCAGAAGCCAGAATAGGCTTGCAGTGGTCACAACCAAAGACCACAAACGTAATGTAAAAACAAACTAAATGAAACTAATTATTGAGTGATTATGAAAAGATACTGTTCGGCCCCCTCAGATCCGCTACTGCATATTACGCATTCTGGTATTAAAACGAGAGATTAAATTAATGCATTGTTATTGAAGTAATTAATTAATTCAAATAACTAATTAAAGTTATAAGATTGGTTACATTTAATTAGCTCAAATGAATTTTTCTCAATTGAATGCATGAACATAAATAGATTGCCTCATAAATTAAATTGAAACCGTTCATTAAAACAATGTGTACACAAAAATCGGTTTATTTTTAGTACAAATTAAAAAGTAGCAATAAACTTAAGTTAGGTTTTTAAAATTTTTCTCACCTTTCAAGCTGTTAGGCATTCTATTTTACTTGCGCAAATAATCTCAAAGACCACATGCATGCAAATCCTGAGACACAATGAAACAGCAATTTATTAGAGGTCAGGTTATGATTTATTCAACGAGGTGAGCTTCTGGGAAATCTACGGAACATACGAGCTTTTTTAACTTTATACTGCAATACATTTTCTTACTTATATATAAATGTATATATATATATATATATATATATATATATAATCCTCTTGGTGTATATATATGCACCAAGAGGATTGAGACTGTCGTGAATACAATTATAAAGGAATAAATCACTGCATTCGATAAAGCGTTCGATAAGGTACCGTATAAATGTGTGGCCTTAAAATTAGGGACAAGTGGAATCACATGAAACAAACATAAGAGGATTTCTAAACGGTTACAAGATAGGCGGCAAAAAGTTGGTATTGGTGAAAATTTTCAATCTGGGCAATGTTTCCATTGGGGTTCTTCGAGGATCCGTATTAGGAAATTTGCAAATTTCTAAATTTGCAGATGACACTAAATTATGTGCTGTTGTAGACAACGACGAAGATATTGAAATTCTAGAATGGGATCTGCAAAATCTATGCAAATGGGCTGAGGAATGGCAGATGGTATTCAACACCACCAAATGTGCAGTCATTTCTACGGGAGCGAATAACAAGACAAACGGATTCAAACTTGGAGGCACACCACTAATAAATGTAGAGGAGGAAGAGGATCTAGGGGGGATAATTCATCGGAATGGTAAGGTAGCGCGGCAATGCATCGAGCAGCTGAAAGTGCAAACAGAACTCTGGGAATGATTAAAAGAACAGTAAAAAGTAGAGATGATGGCTTAATATGATCGTCATATTAAGCCAATATAAAGCATTCGTTTGACTTAATTTGAAGTAATGTGTTCAGCTTTGGAATCCAGATTTAAAAAAGACAGACATATGGCTCGAGAATATTCAAACGAGGGTAACAAGAATAATAAAGGAGTGTCAAGATTTGTCATATGGAGACAGACTAAAAGTTTGTGGTTTGAAAACATTAGAAAAAAAAAAAATAGGAGATTTGATTCAGGCATAATAAATCATCACTGTGAAGAAGAAATTGGAACCAGTGAAATTTTTTAAACTTGGGATGAACAGTAAAACAAGAGGACATAAATATAAAATCTTTAAAAAAGCTAAGGATCGATAAAGCAAAAATTTTTCAGCTGCAGAGTTGTTGTCAACGAGTGGAACAAACTGGGAGATAAAGTAATATGCGCAGAAACAATTAATAACTCTAAAGCAAACTTGGCAAGAAAAGGATTTTAAAAAAGTCTTAGAGTGGTATTGTCCCATGCTCAGTCTTTTTGTATCATTATAAAAAATTTCTTTTATATTATGTTATGTTATTTTCAGCCTTGGCCAGAACCAGAAACCAATCTAATCTAAAAATATATATACGAACCAGACTTCATCATCGTCACATGACACATGACAGCAAAAAAACCTCATATCCAATATATAACACACAAGTTGTCAACACAACTACTACAAACTACAAATATTATAAAAATTTCTATAACGACAACATTACTTGAAGCACTATGAATCAATCGCAACAACAACAACAACAAAAATAGTTACAGCAACATGAAAAACAACATGAACAACAGCATCAACAACAAATACAACAACAACAATATTAATTACCACAACAACAAAGATTACAACAACAACAATAACTACAACGATAAAATTAATTACAACAACAACAATAATAACTACAACAACATCTGAAAGAGCATAGTTTCAGCCATACCAACATTATTAATGTGTCCAACGAAAATTTATTGCGGCGACGTATGCATCATGTTTATTATGTTAATTATTTCTTTGCTCTGCTTATAGTTTTTTGATTATTTTATCAATGTTGTTATTATTATTATTTTTATACTGCTATTATTATTATTATTGTTGTTGTTGATGTGTTGTTGTTAATACTGGTGTTGTTTTTGTTGTTGTAGTGTCGTTTTTTTGTTGTTTTGTTGTTGTTGTTAATGTTGCTGTTGTGTTGTTGTTGTTTCATTAATAGAAGGTAATTTATAATTTAAATCCCTTTTAGATATTTTTATTTGTTCGCTTTATTTTAAATTATTATTACTCAAGTCATGTTATGCAATTTTTTTGTTACAAAATTTTAATTTATTTTTATTCAAAACACATCATTCTATGCACTGACGTATCAGAATATTTCATGCTAAAAACTTGGCTTTTAAAAAAATTCACAACATTTATTCCTTCAACTTTTCACCTAGTTTTCATACAACTCACTAAGTTCAAAACGTTGACCCAGAACATATCTTAATGTTGTCCATCTCCTTGCGTAATGAAAACCACTTTAAAATGAAAAAATTGCTTTTGGAGTTGAAATCCTTCAAAACATCTTTTGTACACTTAGTATGATCTGTACGCTCTTGTATACATGCTCACTTTTGTACGCATTTTTCTGGGAAAAATTGACTTTCTTGTTGTGTCTCTTTACTGTAATCACATTTCATAATGATGGGGAGATCTATTTTTTTGGTGAATAATAATAATAATTATGAATAATTATTATTTAAAGAAAGACTGACAAATGAAGCTCATACTTTGTGAGCTAAACCATTGTAAAAATACATTTTTATGAAAGAAATTTTTATTTGAATATTACTTCTGAGATATGTCCTCACATTTTATTTTATTTTGTTGTTGTCCGACTTTAAATTATTGAAAAATAATAATAATAAATTTATTTGAAATTCACTTTTAAATTTCGTGCAGTTATGACGTCACGTAATCATGAATTAGTTTGTAAGATCATTTGCAGCATTCCAAACTAACTTGATGGTGAATATTCAAATTATAATCCATTGTCCATTGAATGACAATCATTCAAATTCACATTACAAATTCACCATCATGATTTGAATCATATCAATTAAAATTATACATATAATATAACATTAAAATGTTTGAGAAAAATTATTTTTGTTTCAAAATTCCCATTCCAAAAAATAATTTTAATTTTAAAGTTGAATTTATATAGCGCAGCACGCTGGGGTATTGATACATGAGCAACACACGTTTCAAATCAGCACAACACATAACGCGACGTGCAATGTTTTGATTAGGTTTGGTCCTTGCTAATTAACTTCTCTAAGAACGTGTCACTTGAAAAGAAATAAATTTTTATTGTTATCAATAAAAAACATAATCGTAATAATAACAATAACAATAAAATAACTATGACAATATCAACGATAAATTTTATTGTTAGTAAAATCATTAGTTGAAGCATTTTCTGCACACACCCCAATAATTTTTGCATCTTAATGTGGATGTTTCCGTACTCTCGAATTTATTTTTTCGTTAGTCAGATTAGTTAAATATTTCTAAATTGTCTCTCAAATAATTTTCACAAAAAATAAAAATAATTTTTTCGAAAAGTCAGTTAAAAATTGTGTATGTCAGGTCATGTTTTCGTTGTATGCTCGTTCTCCAACAGGCAAAATGCTGTGCCAACCAGTGAGTGTAACAATCTCAAAGTTGGAAGAAGTGGGAAGGAAAAGTTGATCTCTTTTTCAGTTGGCAAAGAATATTTCTACGAGAATATAAATTTATGGCAAATGCATCAAGAAATTGTGTTAAATCATTAGATCATTAAACAATTAATCATAAGAGCATTATGTTATTAGGTCAGTAGTGGGGATGCGACGGTTCCGAATTCGGTTTCTGGTCCGAATCCCGAGATTCTGAAAAAAATCCAATGGAAGATCCACCAAAATCAACCTAAAATTAAAAAAACTCTCGATCGGTGGAAAGAGTGAATCTAAATATCAACAACGATTATGTAATAAACATAGATATACAAACTCATCGGTGTTTTCGCGAGTTGTTTCAGCTAAAACTGCCGAAAGTTTCTTACTCCCAAAAACAAATTTTATTTTTTGTAAATTTTTGGTTTAGAAAAAACATTTTTGGTTTTAGGATTGTGTGCAATTTGGATCCGGATTTGAAATCTGATCCAGATACCACGAATCTCAAACTCTTTGGTTCGTCTGTTGCTATATATTGGGGTCACAACAAAAGTTGTTTCTAAAATATTAACTCTCTCCCAGACCAATGGAATAGACATATTGATTAACAAAAAGTCATACTTGAATTGAAAGATGAACATTCATCTCATCTAATCTCATTCTCTTGGCAAACCGACAGATCTCATCAACTCGTTCAGGAACCATGCATGTCTCCCCACTCACTCACTCACTCACTCACTCACTCACTCACTCACTCACTCACTCACTCACTCACTCACTCACTCACTCACTCACTCACTCACTCACTCACTCACTCACTCACTCACTCACTCACTCACTCTCTCTCTTTCTCACTCTCATTTAATGAACTCCAACCAGCAGTTCTGCATTGCCTTGCTAGTTGAATGAAAAAAATGTATGCATCTTTGTCCTAAAGTGTATGCGCGCGCGTATGTGTGTGTGTGTTTGTGTGTGTGTTTGTGTGTGTGCATGTGTGTACGTACGTTTATTAAAACATTTTGACTGACTGGAGTCTCTCAATAAATAACTGAAGTAACTGTGTGCGCGAATGCAGGTGTGTGTGTGTGTGATTGCGAATGAAAACTGTTTTTCTTATTATTTATTCGCCACTGAAATCTGAGCAGTGTTTTGTGTTCACATCAAATATTTGCTTTCTTTTCGTACCTTTTCTGAAGACTTTTAAGCAGCGCAACTTTATTAACATGTGGGTTATAATATTTATTGAATTGTAACAATGTACTTTGATTGCTCAATAAGTTGATTGAGCATGCTTTTACACTGTTTAATTAATTTTAAATTAACTCCAAACTTTTCAATGACTTAAAATTTATTATAAACAAAAAGCAATTATTTTTATTATGCGTTCCATCCACCAATTCATCAATTAATCCATCTATCCATCCATCGGGTTGGATGCATCCATCAATCAATTCACTCACCCATCCGTCAATCAACTCATCCACTCATCCATCAATCAACTCATCCATCAATCAATCCATCCATCCATCTTCTCCATCCATTACTCATTCCACCATCTGACTTCTTCATCAAGAAACGTCTGCCAACTCGCAATCTTCTGCCATGGCTGGCGATCGTTTTTTTGGACGTTCTTAATTTTTGCACCATACCACACGCATAATTCACAAATTTAAGTTAATTCACACAATTGAATTAATTTATTTACACATTTAAATTAATTAATACACACATTTAAATTAGTTAATTAAACTAATTCAATTTATAAAAATCTTTTGAAGCCGGATTAATGACGCTTAGTGCTACTTAATTCAATTAAAAATATTTAAACGTTCTTACAGGGCGCAATTTAGAATATCAAATCAAACAAACAGACAGCAGACGAACGAACGAATGAACAAACGAACAAATGAACGAACGAACAAACAAACATCAACATTGCTATCAAAAATGCATCACAAAATTTTGAGACATGTAAAAAAGTTCTACTCAGTGCGTCCATCAGAATTAATTATTAATACTGTCGCAAATGTGGATGGATGGAATTTGGCAGTTGCAGCGTTGGTCATTGTGACTGGTTTGTGGCCAGTGACAAAATATGACGTCACATCACATTCCATCACATCAGATTACGGACAAACCCCCTCAATACTAATTAAAATATCAGTCAAAATATAATTAATTTCAAGATCGCACGTTAAAGTTATCTAGAGATACACGACAAATAATCATTTCATTTCTACATAAACAACAGAAGATCTAAAAATATTCGATGTATATTCACACACACACACACACACACACACATTCGCACATACACACACATATTATATATTTTTTTTATAAACATCGCATTCATAATTTATTGAAATTTGAAACGGTGGATTTATATCCTTCAATCCAATATTTTTGCTAATCCATAATATCTGCTAACAAAAGCGCCCGATTTTATAAGCAAGGATCGCAAACATTTTTTAAACAGACAAGAAGACATTGCAAGTCATCCGTCAGAACGAATGAAGTCACACAGTCAGTCGATTAGAAGAAAACTAATTTCATTTTTTAAAAAATAATCAAACAAACAGGAATAGAAATTCAGCAGCCTAAAACAAACAATACAGTTAAAAATTAGTCGCTTGTTATTTTTTAAATAATTTCTTCTTTAAACGATCAATTGAGCAAACAGCAAATTATTAGTGAATTGTTTCTAACTTGGTGATAAAATAAGAGAAGCAACTGAATCACGACCCCCTCTCCTCCTCTCGTCATCTCTCTCCGGTGCACCAACCTTCCAGCACATCAGACTGTTCGTATTGCTGGGGAATCAAGTTGAAGTTGTGTTACTTACGAACGAACGAACGAACGAACGAACAAAAAACAAACGAACGAACAAAAAACAAACTAACGAAATTTTATTTGCTTATCAAATTACGAAATAATTCTAAGAAGGCAGGCTGACCATAAAAATTTGTAATAAGTAAAAATAGTCCGTTGTCAAAATAATACTCCTTCAGTTTTATTTTAAAATTAGGTAATGAATTAAATTCGACATCGAAGCCACGGTTCACGATTTCATTCCAAGTTTTTGGCTCTTTACAAAAATATGCGCGAACGAGATGTTTGTTTCAGATTTGTTTGGAAAGGAGAGTGTTAGGTTTTCCAGATTGCTCTTTGGTTCTGTAATAATTTTGAAACAATTGCTGCCAGGAATCTTACCTAGTTCGTATTTTACGTACTTTTTGTTCAAACCGCCGGATTCATCGAAATGCGAAGAACTTTTCCTTGACACTTTGCTTGATGTAGATATTTTTTGGCTAATTAACTCGTTCCCATTTTTGACACAAATCAGGATTTTTAACGAGTAGACACGAAATGAAACATCATTATTTTCAGCCTTTTCAGAATCGATTAGTTTGCCAGCCAAACGTGTGCCGTGTGATGTTGTGCAGTGAGCCGTACCTGTCTTGCCGAGACGTCCGTGAACAGACACACAACCACCAAACAACAACAACAACAACAACATAAACGCCCGCAATCAATGAAAGCCTCATTAGCACAAAACCAACACGCACACACACACACACACACGCACGCACACCCACACACACACGCACATCATTGTCGCGAATCGCCATTTCGTAACGAGTCGAAATCGCTCGTCACTGTTATCACTGTAACAATATTTAATCGAATGGTGATGATAATGATGATGATGATGGTGATGATGATCATAGCGAAGTTGATGATAATGAGGATGATGTTGGCAAGGATTATGGGGATGATGATGACGATGATAATTATGATGATGATGATGATGATGATGATGATGATGATGATGATAATGAGGATGATGTTGGCAAGGATTATGGGGATGATGATGATGATGATAATTATGATGATGATGATGATGATGATGAGAACAAAAATTCTGATATTGAAGATAACAATTACGTCGATGGTGGTAATGATGATGATATTAATATGATGAGGGTTATGGTAATAATATTAATATGATGATGGTGATGATGATGATGGTATTAGGAAAGGCGATGATGATGATGGTGATGAATATGATGATTGTGGTAATTGTGGCGTTTTTAGTTTTCAAATAAATGTGTATAATTTTGTTGCTGTGTTTATATGAAAGCATAATTATCTCCGTCGGATCATTTCCTGAAATCTAATATTCATGACGTCATTGTTACCGTCGTCAGTGGCGATGATGATAATGATGGTGATGTTCATGACGATGGTGATGATGGCGATGATAATGGTGGTAATGATGAAGATGACGATGATGGTGATGGTGATGATGCTGATGATGATGATGCTGCTGATGATGATGACGATGATGATGGTAGCAATGATGACGACGATGATGATGATGACGATGATGATGACGATGGTGATGTTGATGATAATGGTGATAATGGTGATTGTGATGTTCATTCTAAAATGAATGATGAAAATGTTCTTGACGTGGGCTGGGCAGCTTCTGTTGTGACGTCAAATCGCAATGATAAGATTTATGTAATGATGATGTAATTATGATGTAATGGTATTGATGTAATGATGAT